GTTGCACTTGTTGGTATCGATTCATATATACATATATGTACATACATATGTACATTGGACGGCATCACCAATAAAATTTGCGATTTTCCCGCCGGGATTACAAAATTTATTATATCTTAAGACTTCCACCAAATTATTTCGGATAAATATTCTGCTTTATCCTGAGTTTCGACCAAAAAAAAAAATCACCCGAAAATTTTTCATCCGCCCATGGAAGCTAAAAGTGAAAAGTGAACCGGTTCGGGGAAAAGAAACTCATGATACGGCTGATTAAGATTTACGTGAGCTGGACCGATTGAAAAATACCTCCAAAAATAGTTTTTCATGAAAAAAATAGTTTTTTAAAGGAATCGAATCATAATAATCAGCCTTATCATGAGTTTCATTTTTCCCATACCGGTTCACTTTTGGTTTCCATGGTTTTACTATGGGCGGATGACAAATTTTCAGGTAAATTTTTTTTCAGGCGAAACTCAGGATAAGGCAGAATGAGATTTTTGAAACTGATTTTTTAATTTTTTCCAAGAATTGTTTACAAAACCTTTAGTAACTGGTCCAAAACTTTACTGATATAGACCTCTAAGGTATCAGTGGTAATGCATTTCCTCACCGTTTTTATTTCTTTGCAAAAAAAACTAATTCACGGTCCAATTTATTGTCTTACCATTCTCTTTCATGCTTTGAGAAAACTCCTTTCCAATGATATGCCCTCATAAGTCCGAATCGGCAAAGTTTATGCTGAGTTATTCCAGTTTTTTTTAAACAGCATCAAAAATTTCATTATTGTGATTCCATTGATTTTTTTTTAAATATTTTTATGAAAATTTTTTAAGCTTAAACTGTTTTATCATCTAAGGTAATTTATTGCAAATCAAAAATACTTAAAAAAACTGTTTTTATTCACAAAACTAAAATTTTGGAGGTATTTTCAAATCGGTCCAGCTCACGTAAATCTTAATATTTTTCCGAAATATTTAAGCGAAAGTCTTAAAATATAATAGATTCTACAATTCCGATGGAAAAACAGTACCGATTTGTTTGTATGGGGAGTGATGCAGTCTAGTGTAAATACATGTGTACATATTTTTTTCGCAATCAACATCTCCCTCTTGCTAAAGGTGTATATGTATTTCTTTACCATCGATTGCGCATGCGTGGTGTGTAGTTGCAATTAATATAAATGTCCGTTAATGTTTTTTTTTTTACTTTTTTGCTAATGTTCATAATTAAAATACTGCTCGGCATTCAATGTACATAGTTATTTAAATGTATAGTAATTGAAACTGCTGAATTTTTTTCAATTATTATTTTTTTATCACATTTCACATTTCAGTAAATGCATCGAATTTGTTTAAACGTAGCGCCAATCCAAATATCGAGTGCTTGAAAAATGATCGCTTCTATCGCGACCCGAATCGGCCAGTGCATAAAATTTGGACTAATAGTGAATGTTCTAAGTATTTCCTTTGCCTGGATGGAGACGTCTTTGAGTTTAAATGCTCGGAGGGCTTATTATTCGACGTTGTCAGACAAATTTGTGATTTTAAGCAGAATGTGGATAATTGCGACATAACAGCGGGTAAGAAGTATTGGCGTGGACAAAATTTTTTAACATGTAGAATTAAGAATGCTTAAAAAACATTATAAATACGTATGTATGTATGTAAATAAGTAAAAATATGGATATATAAAGTGCATCACATATCATTAAAAATATGACTAAAAAATACGATAATGAAGTAAGTGAAGATAAACATAATTAAGTTTATAAATTAAAGAACTACTTAAATTCAACTATTTGTTACAATAAGAACAATAACTAAATAGCTTAAAGGGCCGTTTTCTCAAGTAAAATTTTAAAATTTATCTGCCTTTTAAACACACATTTCGCTCTGAAAAAATGTGTTTGAAGGACAGATAAATTTTAAAACATAAATATATTCGCTCCATCTAATAGTTTTTCATTTCTTTTTTAGAAACGCAAATTCCAAAACCATTACTCGAGAAAGCCGAATGTAAAGACAAAACACACTTGGGTTGCGGTGATGGCACATGTCTTCCAAATGACTATTTTTGCGATGGCTCCGTGGATTGTCCCGACGAGTCAGATGAGGTAAAATCTAAAATCTTTAACGCAATTTAAATGCTACTTTAGTTAGTATGAAATTTGGAAAACAAAGCTAATTTTCAAATCTCAGGGTTGGTGTGACATGAACAACGATCCAAATGCCGCTGATTCCTGTGACACACGCAACTGTCAACTGCCAGATTGTTTCTGCTCGAAAGATGGCACGCAAATACCCGGCCGTTTAAGTCCCGGTACGGTGCCACAAATGATTTTGCTGACATTTGGTAGGTATTGATAGTGAATATACTATACATAAATATTTTGCTAGAAACAGCGTCGCAACTACATTACAGTGAAGCCG